CCAGGATCAAAGCCAAGGATGTAGACTTCTGCTTCCTAGAGCTATAGCCCCCGCTCCTGTGCCAGGTAAGTCCACCAAGGGCTCACCATAGCCCGTGCTACTTGCCCCGTTCATGTGCCAGGTAAGTTACGGGCTCACCATAGCCCGTGTTACTTGGAACTTGTTCCGAGTAGCTGAATCTATAACAGCAACAACCGCTCCTGTGCCAGGTAAGTCCACTACGGGCTCACCATAGCCCGTGCTACTAGGAACATTTTGTTCCGAGTGGCTGAATCTAAAACCACAACAACAACGTCGACTCCTGCGCCACGGAATGCACGGGAACGTAAGGTAAATCCCCGAAAATTACCTAAGCGCGGCCGTGGCCTGAATGATGTGAGAGAGTGGGTACACACAGGACATCCCGGCCAATCAGGAGAATTATGTCTAGATTAATCAATCAGGAAATACTGTATGCAAAGCGTTTCTTAGAATTTGTCACCGAAATCACGCGTAGAAACATATTATCCCAGCAGTAGGAAAAAACCGGGGTGTTGGACCAACCGGGCTGTGGTGGGTATGTGGGCCTGCGGGGAGCTCCAAGCAACAGCCTAGTGGACCAAACTCTCACAAGTCAAGCCTGGCCTCGGGCCGGGCTTCGGGAGTTGAAGAACTCCCAGAACCCCATCAACCAGGTATCAAGTCCTTGTTGTTGTTTTTTCCACATACGATTTCCCACTCCGTCAAAAATGCAACTGTTTTGCTTCAGGCAACGTACGATCCCAAGCAACCCGCCTAACAATTCGACGCCAATGCATGGGAAATGTTAGATTTACAGTGATTTATTTTTATTTAGTGATTTTAGTGTGATTTAATGATTTAGTGATTTAGTGATTTAGATTTTTTATTTTGATTAGTGATTTATTTTTTACTAATATTTCGCATTTTTAACGGATTGGTCAATTCCGTATAAACTGCGAAGTATTAGGTGAGAGGACTGAGGATGTTCTTATCTTCCATTATGTTTGTTTCAACACTCAAATAAAGATGATTTAAGTGATTTTATCATAGCAAATTACAATGCTAGCCTTATATATATATATACATTTCGAGGGGTCTCATTGTATAGCTGGCTTCATTCTCGACTCGCACTCGAGGATCCCGGCAAGGACAGAAATGCTTGGACACATTTCCTTTCACCTAATGCGCCTATTTACCTAGCCGTAAATAGGTACCATTCAGTTAGACAACTGTTTTGAGGGGATATATCCTGGGAAGGTTCGACCTAAGGAAGAGGGTGGGGGGGGGGGAGGTTCCTTGATACATGCCTAAAGTGCATGTGTAAAGAGGCTTTTCTGTCTTCGACAAAACGAATGAATGTCTTACCTTCTGTGGGCAGTGTTAGAGAGCTGCTACACTACATATACACTACATATAGTAAGTATACGACTCACTATATGTAGTGTATATGTTTACGACTCACCATATAGCTATGGTGTAGTCGTAAGTATCAAAGAAAATGTTCATAGGTAATGCTTAAGTAGAGAAGGTAAAAGGTCTCCTTTTCTCATCAGGAGAAAGCACTAGGCCATTACGACTACATCTAGCCCTTTGAAGGGACACGGGAATAGGAATTTAGGATAGGACGGAGGGAAGGGATGGTCACCAACCACTTGGAACACAAGGTTGCTAACAAGACGCATAACCAAATTAATTTTTTTCAACAGCCTGAGACGTGCGTATAAACAGGCTTCAAGAGATCCGAGTTTTGGTGTTCTAGTGAGATGTCGGGTGCTCTAGAAAACCCTCACGTTCTCCAGTATAACCTCATGTTGTAGTGAGACCCCCAGGTCGAGCTCTATTGAGACCCCACGTGCTATAGTGAGACTCTACGTGCGCTCTATTGAGACCCCACGTGCTATAGTGAGACTCTACGTGCGCTCTATTGAGACCCCACGTGCTATAGTGAGACTCTACGTGCGCTCTATTGAGACCCCACGTGCTATAGTGAGACTCTACGTGCACTCTATTGAGACTATACGTATATAGTCTATATATATATATATATATATATATATATATATATATATATATATATATATATATATATATATATATATATATATATATATATATATATATATATATATATATGATGAAGGACCTCTGGTGTTCTTTGATCGAGCCCTGTTATGTGGGAAAACTCGGTGTAAATGCACATCTCATTGCCTGGGAGAGAATGGAGTTCTGTGGGTTAAATACCCCAGAATTCCTACCTCTCTTATGGCTTTGAAGTATGGTGCAATGCATATATATATATATATATATATATATATATATATATATATATATATATATAATATATATATATATATATATATATATATATATATATATATATATATATGAAACGTTGTACTGAACGGGATGAGAATCACTTGTACTACCTCATCCCTTTGTGTGTATTTATATCTAAATAAACTTATTTCAATTTGACCACTTGTACTGTCCTCTACAGGTCTTACCATTGCTCTCAAGTCTTTTATATTTTGTAAATTATGTATGTTATTTTTTATAAAGGAATATCATTTTAATCTTTTAATTGATATTTTGATTTTTATAAATCTTCTTAATTTTTGTATTTGTAGCTAATTATTAGGCAAAGTGATTTTGTTTATGTTTAGAATGCATGAATGTTTGTTTGTAATGATGATATAAACCGTTTCTCTTGTATGTACTCACCTAGTTGTGCTTGCGGGGGTTGAGCTTCAGCTCTTTGGGTGCACTTGTCAACTCTCGATCAACTGATGTAAAGGTTCCTGAACCTACTGGGTTCTTATCATATCTACATTTGAAACTGTGTATGGAGTCAGCCTCCAAGCACAGTTTCAATTGTAGACTAACAAATTCCATTTGTTAACTACTCTGACACTGAAAGTGTGTATAAGTGTGTGTGTGTGTGTGTGTGTGTGTGTGTGTGTGTGTGTGTGTGTACTCACCTAGTTGTGTTTGCGGGGGTTGAGCTCTGGCTCTTTGGTCGGAGGTTCAAGTGTGTGTGAGTGTGTGTGTTAACCTCAGGCGACGCAATAACGGTTTCGGGTGAAAATAATCCCCACAGTAATGATAAGAGTGACGCGTCCACAACAGGTCTGGAAGATGTATCGTTGAACGTATGAAGCACGGGATATATATACATCCGCCTCGTCCCAGCCGCTCCTCACACTGGGCCCGGGAGCGTCCGCTGCCTCGCTCGCGGTACCTCTCTTCACCGGCTGGGTTTGTTGACATTTGGCTACCTCTTGCCACTTTTCATCTTGGCCCAACATGCTAATACAGAAGGGTCTCAAGTCCCTTATACCAGGCGTGGCAACAGTGGACACCATGGACGCCATCGTGGGACACGCTCTCTCCTATCAGAAGATGTTTGAGCGCAAGACATCACCCTGGGAAATGAAATTGTGGCGAGAAGGAGAGTTGGAAAACTTCATCGTGGACCTGAAGAAAGTCGATCGCCTGTACCACATCTATAACTGTGACGATGATGTTACAGGCAGCGAGTACGAGCTGCTGGTCCGCATGGAGCACAACGATCAACACGTCTTCGTCGAACTGATAGCCGGGTGCGACTTCACCGGCTTCGACTGCGACGGAGGGGGCGAGATCTACGTCAGCTTCAACGCCAACCTCTTCTTCAAGACCGTTGGGACGCGATACGACGAGGACCTCATCTACCAGTCGCTAATAGAGGACGAGTATCGCGTCGAGGGAAGAACTCCTTACGACCGGTGTTCCGTCGCTTCCTGGCACAACGCCCCGACGCTTAAGTTCCTCTGCCACCTCACCGTAAGTGACAACAAGCATCAACTCAGACACTACCCAGACGTCCTACCTAAAGTGCTCACAGATAGCTTGAACGAGTTCATCGGCATCAAAGACGCAATAGAAGACTATGATAACTGGGACTGAACGCTCATTACCCAACCACTTGGGCTGGACGGTAGAGCGACGGTGTTCCTTTCATACAGATCGGCGTTCAATTCCCGACCGTCCAAGTGGTTGGGCGACCAATCCTTCCCTTCGTCCCATCCCAGATCCTTATCCTGACCCCTTCCAAGTGCTATATGGTAGTAATGGTTTGGCGTTTTTCCCTGATTCTATTATTTATATCACCAAAACACTTAATTTATTCTTCAATTCATATGATTCATCATCAAGCTAACTAGCTGAAAAGCATCAGCTAGTCCCTCTATATGTATATACAGTGTACGCTCTAGTCGGTAAATATAATATTAAATCACTCATTGTTATAAATACATAAAAACTTTGATTTATTATTCAACTTTTATTTATCCAACTGAAATATTCACAACCCCTGAAGTTCTTACATATTTGTTGTTTGCATAACTCAATTTTGTATTTTACTAAGTAAACAATCAATAGAATACAACTAGTGTTTACAGAAGGAAATATTTCAGTTAAAGGAAAATCTGCGAAGTTCCCTTGTGAACTTACCGATATTACAGTTGAAATATCAGTACTTTGTATCTTGGAGCAGCCTTAATACAGACAGACAGGGCGAAACGTATGGGCAAGTCTCCTTACACCCATTACCTCTGTTCACCCAGCAGTGATTAGGAACCAGGGTGTTAGTCGACTGTTGTGGGTGGCATCCTGGGGGGATGGTCAAATGCTGCCTATATCCCAGGTATATCCCAGGTATACTCGAATTTCTCACAAACGCCACAAGGTCCACTGTAAAGAGTGGGACCAGAAGGTCCCAGAGTCCAAAAAGGGGGTTCAAGCCCGAGGTCAAAGAGCAGGTTCACGCCCAAACAAAGTAACTACTAGACTAACATAGCAGAAATAATTAACATATATATAATAGTAATTTAAATGAAATTGAAGAATTTACCGAGTCAGATGAGAGAGAGAGAGAGAGAGGGAGGGAGAGAGAGAGAGGGAGAGAGAGAGAGAGAGAGAGAGAGAGAGAGAGAGAGAGAGAGAGAGAGAGAGAGAGAGAGAGAGAGAGAGAGAGAGAGAGAGAGAGAGAGAGAGAGAGAGAGAGAGAGAGAGAGAGAGAGCACATACATACATACATACATACATACATACATACATACATACATACATACATACATACACACATACACACACACACACACACACACACACACACACACACACACACACTAATAGCACTCCTATTAAGAGGAAATATAAAGCTTAAAATAACAAGAGTAATAAGAGAAAACCAAGAGCCAGCTGGAAATCCCCCATAATAAGGGAAGTTACGCTGCCATTGTTATTTTCGTGCCACAAGATGGCACCGGAAGCGGAGACGGTGCCAACAGCCGGATCACCTCATCGCGGGTCACCAACTACCACACACTAGTTACCTGCGTCGGCAGGTACATTACCTTAAGGTTCTGGGGCCAGATTCACGAAAGCACTTACGAACCTGTACATCTTTTCTCAATCTTTGGCGGCTTTGTTTCCAATTATTAAACAGTTAATGAGCTCCGAAGCACCAGCAGGCTGTTTATAACAATAACAACAGTTGATTGGCAAGTTTTCATGCTTGTAAACTGTTTGATAAATGTAACCAAAGCCGTCAAAGATTGAGGAAAGATGTACACGTTCGTAAGTGCATTCGTGAATCTGGCCCCTGACTTGGGCCGGCGTTGTTTCTGCCCGTTGTTGGGATGGTTACTGTGACTGTTGACCTGTTCTGAGGTTACCGTGTCAAGTCTTGACTGCCAGGATGACTGGTGCTAAAGTGACGTTACATATAATAGCTGAGTAGTGACGTCACCCACACACACACACACGGGGTGACGCCACGTTGCACATTCACACTAGTGACAAATCACTCTTCGTCACACGCACAGTAGCCAGTAGCATGATGTCACACTCACCAGCATCACTAGTAATGACATGATGTCACACTCACCAGCATCACTAGTAATGACATGATGTCACACTCACCAGCATCACTAGTAATGACATGATGTCACACTCACCAGCATCACTAGTAATGACATGATGTCACACTCACCAGCATCACTAGTAATGACATGATGTCACACTCACCAGCATCACTAGTAATGACATGATGTCACACTCACCAGCATCACCAGTAATGACATGATGTCACACTCACCAGCATCACTAGTAATGACATGATGTCACACTCACCAGCATCACCAGTAATGACATGATGTCACACTCACCAGCATCACCAGTAATGACATGATGTCACACTCACCAGCATCACCAACCAGCAGCTGTGTGACGTCCCCCCCCCCCCACCACCGGCTGGGACCCTGAGCCGGATGGTGTACAACAGTCTGGGCTTGCCACGTGCCTCGCCACCCGCTGCCAGACGTATAATTCACAAATGCCAGTTGGTAGGCCTATATCGAGGTCCATCAAGCCAACGACTCTGCCTGTTTTCTCTCTATTTCCCACTACGTACGAAATACGACTGTTGTACTACTAAGGAGCGAGCAAACCCAAGCAACCTTCCTAACTTATCGACGCCGATGCATAGAAAATGTCAATATTTCCGTGCGTTAATTTGTAGTAATAATTCGTATTTTTAACGGAAACGTGCCCAAACGTTTCGTTTGGCGAGGGAACTGTGTCCGGGATATTCCGGATGTGAGCGATATGATGTATGGAGGAGCGGCCAGGCCGGCCACTCGTCACGTGACGGGTAGGACGGGCACTCGTCACGTGACGGCCTCTGACCTAATAACACGTCGCAATTTTGACGTATACCTAAAGCAAAAAAACTGACGTACTCTCATTCATTAGTGTATTTCATTCACTAAAGTAATAACATTACGTCATTAGTGAATGAACTAATGTTTACAATGTTAATTACAATTTTCACATTAAGAAAGGAAAAAAACCCAGAATGAAACTGGAACTAATAGTTTATTTTCAGTTTCACTGTTTGTTTCACTTACATCCTGAGGACTCGTGTTCAGTGAGATCCAGCATATTAAAGATTAAGATGAGATGAGACATGACTCCCTTTAAGAGCATATATAACAACCTTCTTATCAAATCATAACAACAATCCCGATCTGTGTGGGCCGATCTAACTATAGCGAGGATGTTGTTTTTATAGATTCAGCCACTCGAAACAAAAGTCCCAAGTAGCACGGGCTATGGCGATCCCGTAGTGGACTTGTGTGGGCCGATCTAACTATAGCAAGGATGTTGTTTTAATAGATTCAGCCACTCGAAACAAAAGTCCCAAGTAGCACGGGCTATGGCGATCCCGTAGTGGACTTGAAACAGCGAGGAACACGTGAATTTCGCGAGCGTCGACAAGGACGCAGCAGCGCCTTTCGCCGATATGATTTAAGAGCGCATGGCCAGAGGGAGGCACTTATAAGGTCGACAACTTGTGCGGTTCCTCACCGCCGTCTCAGCATCGCCAACTTTACGGTTGGGGAGATTTGTATTCGGTTGGTCGTCGAGTTAAGGGGAAATTAAGGTATTTCTTCCAAAAGGTCTTCGTTTAATTGAAGTCTTTCATTACTCGGAGCGCGAGAGCTGTGCACATTCAAAATCTATTTATACACTAAACAATTTTGTTTATTAATGGCTTTCTTGACAATGTATTATTCCCAACAATCATCTAAAAGTAATTTAAAAAAAAAAAAAAATTGTTCTTGAAATTTGATAACAAAAAAAGTATTCCACAAAAAATTAATATCCACTGTATATATATACAAAAAAAAATAATGTACGAGGACTTTTCAATTGGTCATTAAACATCAATCGTTAAACCCATATGTCAAATGATGTTTTTTTTTACCCAAAAATACCCGTACGAAACTGATCGTGTTCTTCTCGTCGGACTGTGGCGCCTAATTCCAGATAATTATAAACGAAGAGCCATTAAATCAGACTGGAGGCAGACAGACCCCTTGGTCATAACCCGTTTCCTCTTGGCAGGGTGAGATTAATTGTTACTGATAGCCTCTAAATCTTGTATTCATAAATCATCGTATACCCACTTCTTGCGCAGACACTAGTAAATACGATCCCACATAGGGCAGTTAACACATTAATGTACTACATAGACACCAAATCCAAAGCACCATGAATTTTTTTTTTGTCTTCTGTAATGAATGGTGTTTCGGCGAAGAACCGTACATTAAATGGGTGATATTTACCTGTGCGTAGTAGTACCTACAGCTCATTTGCACCTTCAACGCCCGGGGGAGACTAATTACAAGAGGCGAGGCGGCTACCTGCAAACACATGATGTCGGACCAAGGCCTGAAGCGTACTAATGACTCACGCGACGCTCTGGGAACCACTGGCTACCAGTCCCTGTGGTCGTAAACCACCTTCCTCACACCATGCCCTAGAAGCCACCCCATCTTCTACCTTGTTCGCTCCCCACGCTCGTAAAACACTGGGGCAGGAAGAGCAAATGAGTATCATTCGGATTTACACTTTGATTAAGGAAGAAAATTATTTCTAATGGGGTGAAAATTGATCTAATTGAGTGCAAATTGTAGCCTTTCTGACGGTGGTGTCTCATCCTGGGTTAGAAGAGTTACTGGTGGCGCAGTGAGGGATGTTCTGGCGACGTCTTGCGACCAGCACGTTTTTTGGTGCTGGGGTTAAGCTGTCCCCCAACCTCTGGAGTCCACGGGTCGTCGTAACCCTTAAATCCACAACAACATCCTCTGGAAGCGATGAGTCACAATAACGAGGCTAACGTATGTTGACCAGACCACACACTAGAAGGTGAAGGGACGACGACGTTTCGGTCCGTTCTGAACCATTCTCAAGTCGACGACCGAAACGTCCCTTCACCTTCTAGTGTGTGATCTAGTCAACATCCTCTGGAAGGTTATTAAGGCCACCACAATAGCTTATTGTCCAACCAGCATAAATACTTTCGTCGTGAACATGGCTTGAAATTAAATACAACTTTCAGTGTATATATATACACCTGGAAACCGGTACACCTCTCAAGTGTATACATCCCTCAGGTCATGGTGTTAGGATTAAGGTCTGTCAACCACATGAGGGTTATTAAGGCCGTGGGACCAGCTTACTGTCCAACCAGCCATATTATACTTTAATAACAACACAAAGACCAGGACAAAAGTAAGCTGTCGGTGTTTATACAAAGAGAAATAGAGTGAATCACTTGCGATACATAAACCATTTTTGGTTGTCAAATTATGAGCGCCACTGAAATAGTTGGGTTGCCTAGGTTAGGTTAGGTTCGTACGATTACGGTTAGACGAAACCGCTTTACATTTGACGCTGGTCAAACCCTGACACCATCCAGCTCA